AGGAGGAGGAGGAGGAGGAGGAGGAGATTCTGTTATTATAGCCAAGCTCAATAAAAATACTTTTAGACTTCCTGTAGAGTTGATTTCCTGGTCTGGAATTCCTAGTGGGGCTGACACACGAGTACTAAACAACGATGCTAAGCATCATCGTGATTTATGGGAATGATGCCCAAACTTACTCATGTTAAATTCCAAACTGTGTAATCTGCCAGCAGCACCATGGGGAAGTGGGCATGTCTAGAAATGGGGAAAATAGATTATCCCACATGTACTGTCATGTTTTAAAAGAAAGATTGAGAAGTATGGATGTCATTCTCACCTGAAAAATAATAATAATTTTCCATGTTAACAAACTCTGGAGTATACCAAGATTCTGGGAAGCTATATCTCATCCCTGTGTTGTGTATCTTTGCTTTATGGTTTATCATAAAAATAGCTAATTTTATGTGATGGCTTCTTCCAAAGCTCCACACAGTATATCTTAATTTCTGCTGGTTTATTTCAGAGTTTTGGGATATTCACATGTCATCTGGCAGTGACCTCTACCCAATCACCAGCCCAGACCTAAAACAAATGGTTAGCAAGTATACAGCAGCAGAGGCTACCAAGCTTTACCAGATGCATTCACAACACACTATAAATCACTGCTGTTATCCTGTATGAAAACACAGAGTGCAGATTTTATGTGCATTCTACCAAGGAATCAAGCATATTAAACTTAATTGGATACAAACCATATAAGCATGCACCTAAACACTTGCATACGCATGCAATAAAAAAAAATCACACGTAAATTCATTGCATATCTTACAAATATTCTGCATATTCTTACAGCAGAATCTTATGCCTGCATACTCAGAAGTATATCTCATTATGTTTAATGGAATGTACTTCAAAGTAAATGTAGATAGAATTGAACACGTCATAATCACAACCTGTAAAAATAATAATTGGATTATGTATCATTGATTATCAGCACTTTTGATATTTTTAATAAAAAGTGGCATATAAATTTTAAAACAAACAGCCAGTCTTTCTCAACTCTAGATGAATTGAGACTACATCTATACAAAACTTTGCCCTGATCTATACAGACAGCAAACACCAATGTATATACCCTCTTTGTGAGGTTTAGGGAACAAGACAAAATTGTGTGTATCATTCTACCCAACTAATTCTATTCTGTCAAGGCCTTAAAACAGTAATGTAAAACTCTCTAAGAAGATTTAGACTGTAGTCCCGCCAACCAACTGGTGGCATTTCAGGTTTTTTTTTTTTAAAAGGTTTTTCTCCACACAGTTCCACATATTATCTTTGACTTGAGCTAATCTGTTTTCCCAAGCACTCATTCAACTAAGGGCAATAAATTCCAGACAAGAAATGAAGAACAATGACAGGTTACAGCTAGATACTTTCCACAATGACTGAAGGTGGTTCTACAGGATTTCAGACAAAGCCTTTCCTAGTTATACCTTGAGATACAATATATTGAATCTACAGGCTGTTTTGTCCAGAATTCAGGGGAAGAGCAAACTATAGGATTCTCAGAATTTGAGATGTAATACTCTGTAATAAGTGCAAATTCTACAATACATGCTTCTACTCCTAGAAATGCAAATATATCATGACCGCCAAGAAGATTCAAGGGTAGCACTATATTAAAGTTATTTTAATGTTATTATTTCAAATATTAGCTTTATCTGTGAAAATATCTGCATGTTGTTATTTCCACAGATGGAGAATATGTCTATATACTTCTTTTCATATACAAATAAAAATATATAAAATCAACTTACAGAGACAGGAAAGTAATGTTTACTGAAATAGGTCCCAGATTTGGAATAGCTTCCAATTCATTGTGGTTCAGTTTTCTGTTAAAAAAAAAAAAAGAAACCTTAGACAAGGTAGAAATAAACAGTAACTGGTATCTTCTGATTTTTCCTTCCCATTTTACCCCAACAACTTAGCAGCTTTCACCTCTCCTCCCACCCTCATAGCTGCAAAAATTCCCAAAGGAACAACAAGTCTTTTAATGATGTTGACTTCCAAAGACACCCACTGAATTGTTATAAGTCTTTTACACAGAAACAAGAACAAAAATTGCAGTGAGCTTTAACCTCCTCTCGCACTGACCATTTATACATGGAATAATAAACCAAACTGGAGAATTCTGGCTTATTGAGAGTATGCTTTGTGTGGTGCAGGTAGCCCATTTACTCCTCTATGCTAATGGAAGCACATACACACGTATACCCCACACACACCGAAACTGCTTTTTTGTTTTCTTTTTTCTTTTAGTAGTTGTTTCTGCCATATAGATAGACAATCCATGGCTAGTGATTGCATGTGGTTATATAATATCTTCTGTGGCTTGGCATGTAACTTGTTACCTCCCATGCTTTCCATCAGCTAAGCGCTCAGCTATCAAACAACATAAGCTATCACTTAGGAGTATGGGTCAAAGAGTGCAAGTTATCAAAATACAGCAATGCACCATGTGTTTAAATAGGTAAATATATGGCCATGACTAGGTAGAAAAGATTGTTACTCATGTTCCACCAAGAAGGGTAAAGCAGGAGCCAGTCCCTTTATATATCAGCTTTCCTTGGAACCACGACTTATCACTGAATGCAGATGAAATCATTCTAGGTTTTATATGCACATGTAATTATGATTTTAGACATTTAAAATAAAGCAATGGAAAGGAAGACATCTTACAACACAGGCAGCCAAAGGTAAGAACTTGCAAACAGAACAACTACTTACATTTCTCGCAATTTATAAAGGTGGCTCAAAGAACTAGAGTTGATTGAAGAAAACCTATTGTGGCTTAGATCACTGTAAAAATTTTAAAAAGTATAAAAATTCATCAAAATGAGAGATATTTAAAAATAATATAAATACATTTTGATTCATATCTATCTCCTCCAATTTTCCCTCAGCAGTTCACATGATAATCTTTCATACATTTTTACATGATATGTATCAAGTGCATACAACTCAAAAGCTATTTTCACATCAGCTTAAAACAATAAAACATAAAACAATTCTTTTTTTTTTTTTAAGACCAACATGGCAACAATAGTCCTGTGTAGCATAAATCAAACGTTTTTTTCCCCTATCTTGACAGCCTAGGAGGCTGAAGACACATCTGGCAAATACAGCATGAATCTGTCTTTCAATTTGTAGTTTTTACCTGATAAGTCTAAATTTGCAATATTTGGATATACTGATATTTGGGCGGCATGGAAACTTCTTCCATTCATATGTCTCTACATCATTAATTCTCACACATTAAATGGTTAACATGAACCATATGCAATATCAACTAGGGAAAAAAACTGAATAAATACTTCAGCTTCAAGGCATAACGCATTTCAGATTCAATAATGAATGAAATTGCTCAATGTGCCACAGAAACCTTATCTCCTGCAAGATCATATGCTTACTTCTGGGGGTGCATGTTCTTGATGGGCATGTATCTCTACCTCCTGGATGAAATGAAGAAATGCATCAAAATAATTTAACAATATTGTGAAAAAGGTCTGGAAAAAAGCTCACAATAAAGAAAGAAAGACTTTCCCCTGATTTGTACCAATCAAGTATTTGGCTTTGGCACAAGGCATTAAAAGCCCAATCCTGTAAAATTATGGTTATTAAATCTAATATATTAGCCTTTATTCTGCATTAGCATAGAATATGAGATCAATTATTTCAACAAAGAGCTTCAAATTTCTATTGACCTAGTTACAGATAAACGCACTCATCCTTTCTTCATTTTACACAAACTAAAATAAATAAAGGAGAACCATACTGGCTAAAGGGACTGGACTAAGAACCAGAAGACCAAGAGTTCTAGCTCTGCCTTAGTCACAAAGCCAGCTGGATGACCTTGGGCCAGTCACTCACTCTCAGCCTAAAAAGAAGGCAATGGCAAACCACTTCTGAAATCTTGCTAAGAAAATTGTAGGGACTTATCACTGACCTGAAGACACACAAAGGAAGGAAGGAAGGAAGGAAGGAAGGAAGGAA